GAATGTTGTTGTGTTTTAGCATGAAAGGTGGCATAGAAAAATGTGGAGAACACAATATTAGGCATTCAAAACAATTCTCAACCTTAGTTTTGTCCCTCAAATTACTCCTCTTTTCCTCTTTAATCTCATCTCATCTCATCTCTCCCCCCAAAATAAGGATCTCTCCCTCTCCCTCTTCATCTCTAACATTTCTCTTCTCTTCTCTCTTTCTTTCACTCTTCTCCTCCATTCCCCTCTCTCACACATTCATACACAATATGGTATGCTCTTTCCTTTATTTTCATCATCATTGTGTTGTTCTTATTTTTGTTACTTTAAGGCTTGATGGACTAATGCTTGTCATATTATGGGGTGAATTAGGCGAACGCGGCGTCTGGAATGGCTGTGAGAGATGAGTGCAAGCTCAAGTTTTTGGAGTTAAAAACAAAGAGGAACTATCGTTTCATTATATTCAAGATCGAAAATCAAGAAGTGGTTGTGGAGAAACTTGGCAGCCCTACAGAAACCTACGACGATTTCACTGCTGCTATTCCTCCTAACGAGTGTCGTTATGCTGTCTTTGATTTTGACTTCACCACCGACGAGAACTGCCAGAAAAGCAAGATCTTCTTCATAGCATGGTGACGTTAACCTCGTCTTCACACCTTCACATTGGTTTCATAAAAAATCTCTTTTGTCTCTATCAAACCTTAAACTAAGCTTGTCTGCTTGTCCAAATGTCTGTGTTTCTCTGTTTTGAAGGTCACCCGACACATCGATCGTGCGAAATAAGATGGTGTATGCAAGCTCCAAGGACAGATTCAAGAGGGAATTGGATGGAATTCAGGTGGAATTGCAAGCCACTGATGCAAGCGAAATGAGCTTCGACATTATCAAAGCTCGAGCCTTTTAAGCTCACTTTTCATCTCCATTCTTGAGCCTGCTTAATGTTGTGATACTATACTACTCATTCACTTTCTTTTCCACTTTTTTTGTCCTTTTTTTGTACGTTTTAATCTTTTTTCACAGCCTTGTTTTTTCTTTATGGTGTTTCCACTCATATCTAAAGCTGTATCGACGATCTGTTGTAGTTCTATATCAACATTCCTTCTTTCACTTAATCTTTCACAGTTTCAATGCGTATGTTTCAAATGGTAACAAAAAGATTAGAACTTTGAGAAGAAAACATGTTAAAGAACAACACCCAGATGTGTTTTTGTCTATGGCTGCTTACTTTTAGTTGTCTCCCACTGTTCCACTTGTTTGATTGAACTCTGTTTTGTACTATGAACAAAAAGAAGCGATGCCGGATCATATGGCGGCGGCAGAGTGCAGGGGCTTGTCTCTGCAGGGCTCTTCACCAACGATTCTGTCATGAATTCTTGAGTGAGCCCTTGAGCTGGACAAGCCATGGCCTCGGAACAAAGCTCGATCGCGTCGGGCGGTATCGATGGCTTGAATGTTAGAAGTTTAGAATATTGTGTTAGGAGATGAAACATGTAGTCATATACATACTCCATTTTCAGCTCCTCTTGGATGAAACTGGCTGCTGCCTTGCCAATGGCCTGCGCCTGAGCCAACCATGAAACATAGACAGTCTAAGATCCTAAGCTCTAACATAGACATGAACATGAACTCAAACCAAATTGTGGTTACCTTTTGCTGATGGCTGTTGCCCCAATCAACTGCAAATTTGATAGACCGGCACTTGTCGTCGTTCTTGACGGGCCAATAGTGATGCATCGGCATTAGACCTCGCGTGAAGAAGTCGTAGTAGCGCGGTTTTACGAGTAATGTAATGGAATCGCAAGCAAGAATGTATTTTTCACTAACAGACCAAGCTGATCCTTCAATATAGATTTTGTACCTGCAAATGAGTATAAAGGAATGAACAAGGAAAGTTGTTAAAGAACAACAAAGAGAGTTTCAAATTTTACTTATGAACACATTGCTTTGCAAGATCTGATTGCTTGTATCCTTGCTGGGATTCTTTCATCCAATCCTGAAAATTGATTATCCAACCATTATAAGAATTTCTATCCAACGAGCTCGATCGTGTCGCTATCGAGCTATGTTTCTACAGATATCATGATGATGATGATGCATATATATAGTTGTTGGAATGAGTTTGAGTGAGTTATGTTTGACAACGTTCGAACGTAAACCGATAATACCTGAGCAAATACACGAGCATTCCAATCTTTTTGGTCGGAGACATTGCATTTAAGTAGATCTTTTCGGGTTTCGGCAACCTCTGGATTTCCCTTCCAATAAGCATAAGGCTCTCTACTCTTCCATGGGATCTTTTTGTTCCCTTCTATTAGGTCCTTCAACAATGGCTCCCATGGCTTTATATTGATCTCTGGCCTGCAAAAGTCCAATAATGTATTCAATCATCCCAAGATTATATATATATATATATATATATATATATATATATTCTCCGAGTGTTCTTTTTGTGTTTCGATCCTAAATTTTTACATATTAATATCTTTTAAGAACGGTTCGGGGAGTTTAGTATGGCTATTTGATTTCCGTTCTTGGCTACATTTAATTTTTCGGTTTATGATTTTTATTTTATGATAAAATAGAATAATATTTTTAGAAATTTTCTATTTAAATTATTAATTTCTATTTAAAGAGATTTTTTTTATAAAAAAAAAATTCTTAGAAAAACAAAATAATATTTCAAGAAGAATAAGCACCCAATTGGCACAATTTGTAAGAAGTCAAAGGTTGACTTACCAACCCCAGAAGGACCAATCAGGAAAAACAATATCCAACGTGGAATCATCTCCACAATAACGAAACAAAGGAGGTGGGGCCGGCCCATTAGGCCCATTAAAATGGGAAGTCAAAATCACAGGCCAGTCAACGCAATCAAACATCAGCTCCAAATCAGGCACTTTCCCGGGGTACCTCCGTAGCAACTGTAGGATCCCCCACACCGTAAAAGTATCTCTCGTCTGAAACGACTTCCGATAAGTCTTCACATAAGCCTTCCCGTTCACAATCGCCAGCCGGAAATTGGCCGTCCGTTGGCCAGCCTCCATCGTGGCCCTCGTGATCCCCGTCCGGGTCCACGGTCTCAGGTCCTCGTGAATCCAACGGAAGTAATCCGGACACGTCACTGGTTCTGGATGATTCGGATCTTCCTCCAATGTCCAATTGGTCGGGTAGCTGGCAGGGCAGACACCGCCCTTCACGTTATTGAAGGGCGTGCAATCGAGTGGGAATTCGACTTGTCGTCGTCGGAGTGGCATTTTCGGTATTTGGGAAGTGTTGTTGCTCCCTCTAAAATTACCCCCTGCCCTCTGAAATCAATAAAACCCTCCTTAATTTCCGGAATTTAGACAGAAAAAAAGGAATTTTTTTTAAAATACTATTATGCATTAAGAAACTTACATTTGAATCGAGGAGACGCGTGGAGAGGAACGCGCCGGCGAGGAGGAAGAGAGAGAAGAAGAGAACGAGAGAGAATCTCGCCGGAGATTTGAGAGATGGCTTCAAGAGATGATCTGAGAAGTGGCGAGAGACCCAAGAGGCATAATTTGAAAACCTCTGGTGGAATCCGGCGTCCCTCATTGTTTAACGTTGTGACTCTTCAGCTTCAGGCCCACCGGCGCAGTTGACAGTGGGCGGAGGAGAGGTGGTCCGGCGAAATTTGACTTGTCGGGAAAAATGGTAGATGGGTGTTGGTTGAGGAAATGGAAGATTGAAGTTGTGAAGAAGAGAACAAAAATGGAGGTTTTAATGTGATTGATTGACGTGTCTAATAAGAACCTTAGAAAAGTACTCCAAAAATCTCTTGCCCCATTTTAAAATTTTAAAACTTTATGGATTCATTAAATAAATTCAACATAAAGGCTTCATCATACCCCAATTATTTATTTATTTATTTATAATTTTCACATAGAAATTAAATTTTGCAAGAATGATGAATAAAATGTTTAAAAGTCAAATTATGTACTTAGGAGTTGTAAAAATTATGTAATATCAAATTTTTTTGCAGCTAAATTAAATGAAACCCATTTATTTGGAGTGAGAAAAGGGCCAAAATTAATAATCAATTAATTGTGAGAGTTGAAAAGACTTTGTAAAATTGAAGGATGGCTTTGTAATGTCAGGAAATGTTTGGGTTCAACATACTTAATTGATCTAACCTCAATCGGAAGGATGGGGGTTTAGGTGTTGAATGACGTTTTTCCATGACAGATACATAAAAGCTATTTGTGCGAGTCGACCGTTGATACTCTAGTCCAGACTATTATGGTTCGAGGGTAATATTTAGCACTGGTTCATTATATGGTTGACAGTTCGAGATGGATTATACGATCATCTATTCTTTAGGTGTTCTATCCTCTAGTAGGATTGGATGGCCTAAGATGCATATGATACAGAAATCTGATAACAAAAAGCTAAAACAATTTGTAGCCACTCTTACCTGCTGCATTCCCATAGCAGTGCCGTATCTGATGAGAAACACAGCAGACTACTAGGGAGAGGTTTCCACACCCTTCTAAGGAACACCCTTGCAAGGATGCTTCGTTCTCCTCTCCAACCGATGTGGGATCTCACAATCCACACCCGTTGAGGGCCCAGCATCCTCACTGGCACACCACCTGGGCATTTGTAACCGCCCAAGCCCACCGCTAGCCGTATTGTCCTCTTTAGGCTTTCCCTTTTGGGCTTCCACACCCTTATAGGAAATGTTCATTCAACTCTCCAACCAAAAGTGAAAGCCCTAAAGAAAAATGTCAAAGAACAATATCTGCTAGCGGTAAGCTTCGACCTGGTACAAAAGAAGAGAAGAGAAGAGAGTATCACAACAGAAAAAACTATACCACTGTTCTTCGAACCAGTGCCAAACTTTTCCAATCCTGCAGCTAAACTATTGTATAGATTATGTTCATTCCTCCTTGTAAGTTATAAGCAGATTCAACTAGAAACATTCTACGGCTAAAACGATAAGGGAGAGAAGAACATAGACTAAAACAAATAAGAACATACTAAGTTTCATAATGGAATAACAGTTATGGCTACATCTATGTATCATATGGTTATTAATCAATATCAGGAAACCAAGGAGTAGCTGCCTCTTCAATTTCTCATCTGGTTATTAATTAATAATCTCCAACTGCAAACATTCATCCTACTGATCTAGCATCTTCTATATCCCTTGAATTTCGTCACTAAATGCGCGTATTGCCCCTTCTCGACCATATGTGTAATAACTTTGTGAGCCTCGGAAAGCTGTCCAGCGTTTCGCAAATAACTTACAAGGGTACTATATACAAGAAAATTTGGTTTGCAGCCTCGGGATTCCATTTCTTCGAGCATAGTGTAAGCTTCCTCGAATTCACCGACCATACAAAACCCACGAATCATGGAGTTGTATGTAAATACATTAGGGAGTTGGCCCTTTATTACCATCTCATCGAAAAGTTCTCGAGCCTTTTCGTGCTCCCCAGCTACTGTATAGCTTGTGATCATCACAGTGTAGCAAACGACATCAGGAGTGCAGCCGTTATTAGAAAGTTCATCAAAAAAATATTTGCAAGCATCCAAATTTCCAGCCCGACTAAGTCCATTTATCAACGTCGTGAAGTGAAGAATGCTCGGATCAGAGCCCACTTCCCTCATGTGGTTCAAAAGGTTTAAAGCTGCAAGAGGCTTGTCTCCTTTGCCAAGAACATAGAGAAGAATGTTATAAGTATGACAATCAGGAGAGAATCCGTTCCTGGCCATTTCATCAAGCAATCTGTGAAACTGATCCAATTTCCCCAATTTGCACCTTGCATACAATAGCAAATTATATGTCAGCATGTCCGAGCTATGACCATCAAGCAGCATTTGCTGATACACCCATTCAATCAACTTGTACTGTTTTATACCAAGAAGTGCATGGAGAATAGCATTATAAGAGTGCTTAAATGGCCTGTAATTGAACGTTTTCGATTTGATAAACCTCTCGACAACTTTCCTAGCCAACCCTGCATCACCACAAGTACATATCAATAACGTAAATGTCCTTGCAGTAACAGGGTACCCTTTCTCAGTCATCTCATCAACTAACCTCCACATAGCCTTGAACTCCTCACATTCAGCAAATATTTTCATGATCATATGATACGAACCCGCGGTGTGGTTGAAATTCTCAACCTTACCAGACCACACGAAGAACTTGTACCCCAATTTTGCACACTGAGTTTTGTTTAGAACATTTATGCTTCTCAAAATCCCCCTCAAAACTTCCCTAACAAGAACTCCTGAGACCTTTAGTTGGAGTTCATCCAAAGCCACTAATGTGTCAAATCCAGGACCATCCTGTTTGAGAACCTCAAGAACTTTTCCAGCATCAGTTTTCGAATCCTCTAGAAAACCCCTTCTCACAGACAAATCATCGCATCTAAGACTCTCAAACTCACAAGACTCTGATCTCTCCAACCCCTTCTTATAGGGTTCCATAACAAACTCAAATCGGTCATCACTACCAAAACTCCGATTCCAAATTGTTCGACGCACAATGAAAGAACTTGAAACCAATCTGCAGACTATCCGCGCACTCAGAAGCGATAAAGCGTTCATGATTGATACCCATTATCGATGAAGACTGACAATACTTAAGGAAATTGAGTAATCTATTAACAAAGCAAAAATGGGCAAGTGGGGAATCGCCGAAGCGTTTGTTTTCCCAAATTGGGCGGCACCCATTTAACATGAACACTCCCAATCTTGCAATAGGTATTGAATCCAACACAAAATCCTCGTTTGAAACATGAATTTCAATGTAGCAGAGAAAAATTTCGAGTTTGAATAAGACTTATCTGGGATTTTGCGATTTTGTTGCGATCTTCGAAGCTTGACGCTTGAAAACAAGCTTGAAAACAAGCTTGAAATTTGTTCTTCAAATTGGGGGCAACAAGTAAGATCGTAGTTGAACTAAACGAAGACTGAGAGTGAGAGTGAAGCGAGAGAAGACTTGCTAGGTTACCACAATTCTCGACAGCCTGCCGATCGTCGTTTCTCCATCCACTTTCCTTCACTTCCCACCGGTTCGACATGTCGAACATAAATTGATTATAAATATATTCGAAAGTTTTTATCATTATAAACATTTAAAAAAGAAATAATCTGATTTATCCTTTGCTTTTTTTCAGAAAAATAAAAATTAAATAAAAATTCACATTATTTATTTAAAAAAACATGAATTAAACTTTTTTTAACTTTCAAATCAATTTAGACCATTCGTTTCAATTGCATCGACGTACGTTTTCTGTCTTGCTACGAACGGGCATCGCTCGCCAAATAGGTTAGATTGGTGCAACTATTTTTGATAACATATGACCCTTGTTCGAGAACAAGGGGAGGGGCGAAATGATTTCTCGATCTACTAACAGCTTTCTAAAAAGAAAAACGTCGTCTCTTAGATGTTTTATATTGCTTCGATCTCTCCTATGCGTAAAATGTTGTCTTGCTAAGAGCCATCGTTTGTTACTCGTCTTTTATGTAAACCCGTATACGATAAGATATTTCTTAATTTGGAAGCTCATAATGCCAAGTGCCAACTCATAATAAGACATATTTGGTCACTTCTCAATTCATCATCCTCTTTCAAATACCAACTCCTCACACTTCCCTTCTTCTTCCTCCAACTATAATATCTCAACCACTCTCTCTCTCTCATTTATTTCTCTCTCTTTACTCAGAAAATGGCTGACGATGAGCCCAAGAGGCTGGATTCTGAACCTCCGTCCGAGTCCTCTCCGCCGCAAGTGGCGGAGCTGGTGGAGGAGCCGACTAAAAACGTGGCGGAGGAGAAATCAATCATCCAGTTAACCCCGCCGGAGAAGACGCCGGCTGATGACTCCAAACCTCTGCTTATCATTGAAAGTAATTTACAGACATAAAGCTCTTAACTTCTTCATTTGTTTTCATTCTTTTTCGCTTTTTGGAGCTGTTTGGTTGATGGGAAAAAAAAATTAAAAGGAAAAAAGAATAAAAAAAGGGATTGAACTTTGGAATTCATCTTGCTCTGTTTTGACAGAGACTGAAGCAAAAACAGAGGAGAAACAGAGTAGCTCAATTAATAGAGGTAATTAACTAGCCATATGAAGTGATTAATGTCAATAATTTAATACCCAAATGAAAAATTGAATAAATTTCTTTGTTTTTATGGCTCTTAGATGCTGAGCTTGCAAGAGTAGCAACAGAGAAGAGACTGACACTCATTAAAGCTTGGGAAGAGAGTGAAAAATCAAGAACAGAGAACAGGTACCCATAATTTTGTTGTTGAGTATTAAAGAGATCTAAGGTAGATAGCTAATGGAGTTCATTGAGCAGAGCTCACAAAAAGCTATCAGAAATTGGGTCATGGGAGAGCAGCAAGAAAGCGGCGGTGGAGGCTGAGCTAAAACAGATTGAGGTAAGCAATATGAACATGGAATCTGTTTGGATGCCGAGAAAATTTTGGTGTGAAAATATATGTTTGTGTTTGAGAACAGGAAAAGTTTGAGAAGAAGAAAGCGGAATATGTTGAGAAAATGAAGAACAAAATAGCGTTGATTCATAAAGCAGCAGAAGAGAAGAAGGCAGTGATTGAAGCGAAACGTGGAGAAGAGAAGCTTAAAGCAGAGGAAATTGCTGCAAAATACAGAGCCACTGGAACTGCTCCAAAGAAGATTCTTGGTTGTTTCTAAAGCAATCTCTCTGTCTCTCTTTCTTTTCTACGTGAAATTGCTTGTTCCTTCGGATTATATATGTTCGTTCTTAATTTAATCAAAGATTTAAGAAGAAGTTACGTATACGGTATCAGTTCATGTTCTTATTTGAATATGATATCAGTTCATGATCGAACATCACGTGTCCAAAATAGAATATTTACGAATACCCTTCATTTGGAACAACTTAATGAGCAAGTTGTTTAAGTTTTGGTATAAAATGAGAGGCTTCACAAGCGAGAAAGTGAGATTAAACATGGTGAAGCTGACAATGGTGGGAAGGGTTAGGGATGGAGTGCCACTTGCACAAGGCATTAGGTATGTCAATGAAGAGAATGACGATGTTTTGGGGTACAAACAGCAAGCTGAGTTCATACTCAAAGAGATCTCTAGAGGGGCTTTGTCACCTCCAAAAATGGTCATTCAAATGCATCATCACTCTTTCATGTACCGTTCAAACTCTCTTTTCTTTACGTTGATTTCGATATATCGGGTTAAAATATTTTTCTAGGCTCAATTCAATCTCGATCGAGTTTAAATTTTCTCAACCCCATCTTAAAATATTGGGTTGGGTCGAGTTGATTTGGGCTGGTCAGTCATAAAATTTAAGAACTTGGTGAACCAACTCAACTCATAAATTTTTTTTCCTGTGCTGCATCAATTAGTTACTTGATCGAGAACGGAGTGTGTTACATGACGTTATGCGATTCTTTGTACCCAAGAAAGCTGGCTATCCATTACTTGCAAGATCTGCAAAGGGAGTTTTCCAAGTTTGATGATGCCCTACTAAACAGCCTTGTCAAACCCTATAGTTTCCTCAAATTTGGTAACCTTTCTCAACCCTCTTCATCCATGCCTGCCCGACCTGGGACAAAAATAAAAGAATATACGTCTTATTCTCGCTCGTGTCCCTACTTTACCTCCTTCTAAAGAAAAGTAAATCATTTACTGCCAACAACTGGAATAGCTAGGTCGTGACTAAAATCATGCATCGTTGAATTGACATACTCATAACCTATTTGATTTATGCAGATAATATTATTATCAATATTAGGAAGCGATACATTGATACAAGAACACAAGTCAATCTATACAAGCTCAATGATGGGCGTGGCCAAACTGATCTAGACATGGTCACTTGTTCGTTCTTTGAAATTTTTGAAAGAAGGAGAAAGATAACGGGTAGCTGTTCTTAATTTTTAAGCGATAATAATTCAAATTAGTTTTTGATTAACCGAACTTTTGTAGATAGAGCGGAAAGATCAATTTGTAATGCAAATTCCTCTTCCATTTGGAGCTTTTCAATTGTCAAGGTAATTTAGTTGATTTTCTTTCATTTTCTTTCATTTTCTTGGCAACCAAACAAAGGGTAAGCATTAATTTTTGTTTGTATGGACAGGAAATTGGGTTGAAATGGACGCCAGTGGTTGTAACTTTTGGTGTAGTGCTTGTACTTTTATGGGCTTCCTTTCTTCTCTTCGACATCTCATTATCTCATCATAATCAATTTGTAATTCTATATAACAATAGAAAATTGTTTCACTAATTTTAATTAAATTCATTATTCCTCGCTAGCTCGTGTAATTTTATGACTAAATTAATAAAAAATATCTTTCAATTTTACGTCTAGTCCTAAAAATATTCCTAACTTTAAAAAAAATTTAAAAAATTATTAATTTTGGAGGTAACAGTCGGTAGGAAAGTTTTAAAAGTATTTCAAAAGTTTCAATAATACTCTTACAGTTAGTACCACGTTTCAAATGTACTCATGAGTTTTTAAGAGTAACATTAAAAAATTTAGAGATGATCTATGAGGTGTCGACAGACGTCTCGTAAGAATTTTTTTAATTTTTTTTTAGGTAAAGGGCGTTAATGGAATGCTATTTTTTTTTTTAAATTTTAAATCAAGAGTATTTTAAGGACATTTTTGTATAATATATACTTAAATTTTTTTTAAAAAAATTATTAAATACAAAACTTAAAAGTGGAGAGGGTAAAGTGGTAACTTCACCTTGCACCATAGGTTTGAATCCCTCTTTAGACTATAAAAATTGGTTTTTTATGCAACTATTTTCGTTCTAGACAACTGTACAAAATCGGTTGAAGGCCGCCTCTTCCCGCCATTGTCAACTCGTATAAATTATGAATGGCCTGCAACTTGGAGGCCAAAATTTCAGAGATATTACCAAGATGCAGCTTCGCGCAGCTTAAACAAATCCACGCTCTCCTCTTAACATCATCCATTCACCAAAGCATCCATGTTTTTTCGAGCTTTCTTCGACGAACCACCGAATTGGGGACCATGGACTACGCAAGTCTTGTGTTTTCTCATCTCAATCCCAGTTTCAGAACCGAAGTTCAATTCTGGAATGCGATGATCAGGGGCTATGCTTTTAATGGCCCTGTTGAGAAATCTGCGTCCTTGTATGGCGAATTGCTTCAGAGAGGGCTCAAACCACATAATTTCACCTACCCATATGTGCTAAACTCATGTGCTGATTTGGGTTGGTTCTGGGATGGGAAAAAAGTGCATTGCCGAATTATCAAGACTGGATTTTCGTTAAACTATTCTGTTTCTGATGCGCTTTTAAATTTGTATTTGAAAATTTCAGAACTTTCTGGACCTGGGGTTGTTTCTGATGGGAAGGTTTGGGATGCTCGCAAGCTGTTCGATGAAATGCGTGATAGAACTATTGAAGTTTGGAACCGAATGATCTTGGTGTATATGAGAACTGGGGATGTCTATGGTGCACGGCAGTTGTTTGATAGTATGGAAGATCGAGATGTCGTTTCATGGAATACAATGATTTCTGGTTATGTCAAAGTACGAGACGTAGCGAAAGCAAGAGAGTTATTCGAACGAATGCCAGAGAAGAATATTGTGTCTTGGACTTCAATGATTGGGGCATATGCCAAAGCTGGAGATATTATTACAGCAAGAATGTTCTTCAATAAAATGCCTCAAAGAAACGTGGTATCTTGGAATTCTATGGTTTCTAGCTACGTTCAACACGGGGATTTTCAGGAAGCACGGAATCTCTTTATCCAAATGCTATCAGAAGGCATAACTCCTGATAGGTATACTTTTGTTTCTGTTTTATCAGCTTGTTCTCATTTGGGGGATCTAGAGTTTGGGAAGTGGATACATTACTTGATTGATGATTTCTCTCAACTTGGAGTTATTGCTGCAACTGCCCTTATTGAAATGTATGCAAAATGTGGAGACATTAACAGAGCTTTTACTATTTTCATCAAAATCGGAACGAAGGACGTGTTTTGTTGGAACGTTATGCTGAAATCACTTGCCCTCCATGGAAAGGCTCAAGATGCCATTAAATTACTCTATTTGATGCAAAAAGAAGGCTTGAAGCCAAATGACTTCACCTTTCTTGGAGCTCTGTTCGCCTGCAGCCATGGAGGCATGACAGAAGAAGGTCAAATCATATTTGATAACATGCAGAAGGAACATGGGATTAGCCCAACGATCGAACATTATGGTTGTGTCATTGATTTGCTTAGTCGAAACGGTCGATTAGAGGAAGCGCTGCGTATAGTAGACCAGATGCCGTTTGAGCCTGATGTTGCAATATGGGGAGCTTTGCTGGGTGGTTGCAAGTTAACAAGTGATTTCAAGAGAGCAGAAGAAATAGTTGAGAGAGTGAGAAAATTGAGATCAAATGAAGGTGGAATCCATGTGAGCTTGTCGAACATGTATGCATCAGTTGAGCATTGGCAAGAGGCTCTAACTGCAAGGGAAAAGATGGAAGAGGAGAATATATTAAAGAAAACTGGCCAGAGTAGTGTTATTTATGCACCCTGTGGAAGCTCAACGTTCACAAGATTACTTTCAAGAGGATAATGGCTAACATCATGGCGAGGCATTTTCATTGAGTTATAATGGAATGATGTAGCAACACCTCAAAGAGTATTTATCTGATACAAGAAATCAAATAAAATCGAACCAATCTAAGTTCGATTGGGTTCGTATTAGTTCAATAACCAGTTGGTCACTAGTTTCCAAGTGGGGTTTGGTTTGGTTTGGCTAGCCCTTTATTTCTTACCAGGCATGCTTTCTTTTCTAATGCATGTAAGATGTGTGAGATCCCACCTCGGTTTGAGGGTAAAACAAATTATTTCTTATAAATGTGTGGAAATCTCACCCTAGCTGACGGCGATACGTAACAGGTCAAAGTAGACAATATCTAAAAACCAAATTCTAAATCCTAATTCCTTCGGTAGCGTTGCACATTTGGTTGCAATATACATAATACATTTATGGCCTACCAGAGGAAGTCATTTACCCTTTAAGGAGGCTAAGAACAATCTCAACTCTCTTGCCTTTCTCTCATGTTCAGGTGACTGATCATTTTCTGTGTCACTCAAATCAATTACATCAATCTTTTCACAGTTTCCCTGTTGAAATTTCGAAACTTTGCGCGTTTGAATTGCAGGTGAAGGGCTTAAGAGATTGATGACCTCAACGTTCTCTGTACCGTGAGCATGATCAACAATGGTTGGTTCGACGTCAAGAATAATCTCCTGCAAATCATCCAAACCAGTAGCAGAGTTACTGTTTTCCGAAACTATTGGAGCTTGGGAAAGATTTCGAACCGCCCTGCTTTCAGATTCGATTTCAAGCAACAGAGTTCGGAATCTTTCATCAATTTCAGCCACAGTAGCCTCTGACTTCTTTGTTTTTGTTCTGCACTTATTTGGTTTTCTTCCTTGAGCTCTTTGCTCTTCAAATTCTACAATCATCTCTGGACAGGCACTGTGGAAATATTCAAAAAGAAATAGTTGTGAAGTATCCAAATCGTCATTTGTTATAGAAGAAATTATGTAATGACACTCCATACCTCTGCAAGAGATCTGCTGGTACAACAGATGAACTAAGCCCATCTAAATTTTTCCATGAAACCTCATAGCATTCGTTCCCCTGGACTTTTCGGTGCTTGACGATTCCAGAAACAGGACAACTTACAGGTACCTGTAATAAAAAACATGCAATCAAACAGTATCCATATCAGTAACAACTGATAAAAGTAACTCTTGAAGAAATAAACATACCTCTTGAAGTGGAATGTTGAAACCGAGGTCTGATGTGTTCGAACGAAGATTAGCAAATCGTCGTAGATCTTTTTCTGCTATCTTTGGAAGAATGTACTCATCTGAACCATGCATGGGTTATTCACAAGCTAAACATCAAAGGAACCATTTTCTAGTTAGCTCCAAAGATGAAGGAAAAAAAAAGAACCTGTTTTCTCAGGAGGCCAAGCAAAAAATTCGGCACAGAACTGCTGAAGCTTGGCACGTTGAAAAGAATGCTGAATAAGAACCCTGCAGAGAGAAAAAAAAAAAGTGCTGAAGGCATATGAATTTAACAAAGTCTACATGCATTTCAAAAAGGAAAGTTTGAAGACTAATCGTGTAAATATCAATATGACACAAAATTTCAATGGAGCCCACCGTTAACAGACATTGTCTGTTCTGACCCGTTATGTATCACCATCAACCTCACAGTTTTAAAACGCGTTTTCTAGGGAGAGATTTCTATACCCTTATAAGGAATGTTTCGTTCTCCTCTCCAACTAATGTGAGATCTCTTTTGCAAACACAAACACAGAGTACAGAACTATTTGTAATGTAATTCCAAAGGTTCAACAAGCTCACCTAGTCACAGCATCAGAATCAGCTGAATGGCATTTGGGTCTCAAATAGGCATCAATGACTTGTGAAAACTCCTCACATTTATGCATGTACTGCCCATCCCCTGTACAACCAAACCAAAGTAACCCACATCACAAATCAAAACTTGATTGACCTATCATATCAGAATAGTATCAAAACTGCACTATTTAAGTTCCTAAGCCCACTAGTGAGGCTAAGAAGGTTGTTTTTTAGTTTCTATCCAAGGCTCAAATTCCCCTATTCCACTTCTTTTAGTGTTGAAAAAGGAGAATGAAGCTTGATAGAAGTAATATGACCAGAATTAGGAAGTCCTGGCTTCTTGGAATTTTTCCCCTTCATTGTGTAAGACAGTCCTTCAGATGCAATTTTTTGAAGGACAGTGCTATCTCCTACTGTTTTAACAATCTGACGAGCAGATTCCTACAAAGAGTACAAAAACAGCATAGACACAGTTACATGCTGCAGTCGAATTGTTAGTATAAAAAGCAATCCAACAGAGAAAAACAGGAGTTGAAACCTACACGACCCATGCCATAAACGCCTTGCGTGTAGTCACTGCCAAGAAGTAGGGCCAAAGCAATCTGGAAATCACAAAATGATTTGGTAATGATAACATATTTGATCATAGAAAGAGAAAGCTCGTCTTTCAAGTGAAACACTGTTACCCCAAGCCACCGCTAATAGATATTGTCCGATTTGGTCTTTTCCTTCCAGATTTCCCCTCAAAGTTTTAAAACGCGTCTGTTAGGGAGGTGTTTCCACACTCTTATAAAGAATTCATTCCTCTCTCCAACAAATGTGGGATCTCACAATCCACCCAACTTGGGGACCCGGTATCTTTGCTGGCACATTGCCCGGTGTCTGGCTCTAATACCATTTGTAACAGCTCAAACCCACCGCTAGCAGATATTGTCTTCTTTGATCTTTCCCTTCCGAGCTTTCCTTCAAGGTTTTAAAATGCGCTGTTAGGGAGAGGTTTCCACACCTTATAAAGAATGCTTCGTTCCCCTCTCCAAACAATATGGAATCTCACAATCCACCCTCCTTGGGGGCCCGCGTTCTCGCTGGCGCACTACCCAGTGTCTGATTCTGATACTATTTGTAACAGCCGAAGCCCACCACTAGCAGATATTGTCTTCTCTAGGCTTTCCCTTCCGAGCTTCCCTTCAAGGTTTTAAAATGTGTCTGTTAGGGAGGGGTTTCCACACCTTATAAAGAATGCTTCGTTCCCCTCTCCAAACAATATGGAATCTCACAATCCACCCTCCTTGGGCGCCAGCGTTCTCGCTGGCGCACTACCCGGTGTCTGATTCTGATACTATTTGTAACAATCGAAGCTCACCACTAGCGGATATTGTCTTCTCTAGGCTTTCCCTTCTAGGCTTCTCCTCAAGGTTTTAAAACGCATCTGTTAGGGAGAGGTTTCTACACCCTTATAAAAAATGATTCGTTCACCTCTCCAACCAATGTGAGATCTCACAAAAACACTCTACTCTCTTAAATCATACATTGTTCGAAATGTAGACGCACCATTGAGTTCCTTCCAAAGCCCAATTGTCCTTCAATGTCATCCATTTCATAACACACTACATGACCACCATCTCCTAATTTAACAACAAATAATAAGAATAATGAGTACATCTTTTAAAACCATAAACCAACTCTACAGAAACTTCGCATGCTCTAGGACACTCACCAAGGCATATGTCCCTATAAACTGTCCTCGCACCAAAAAGGAAAACATCTGAATCTGAAGTAAAACATCCATCCTGATCAGAAAATGATGCTTTAATAATAGCAATGATGTTCAATACAACAGAGATGCAAAGCAATAAGCATGTGGAGCACTCAAACATTATAACTAAGACTCAACTTACACATAATAGCTCTGAATTTAGTAATGCACATTGTGCTTCCCCTTCCTCGAGCCTACATTCAGAGGTATATGCAAAAAGATTCAAGTGCTCAGGAGACAGGAAACCATAAGATTCTGATTGAAAATTGAATGAACTCTTTCATTAAGCCAAAAACAGAATGAAAACTTAAGCATTTACCCATCTAGACAAGGGATACCAAGCGCCAGTCCTAAGGCTTTTGCCTCTTTTATCATTAAAGAGAACTCAGAACCCTTGTTTCTTTTCAGTGAGGATATTTGCTGGGAATTTGTGTCATTTTTAACAACCTGTCTTGTTGCATCTTTGGTAAGTAACATTCAAGCTAAAAGGAGAAATGAAACGAAAGTGGGTTATGAGAATTCCCACCTCACTTCCATTGTTCAAACGGCGTCTATAAGTTGAAAGTTTGATGCCAGGAATTGAACCATCTACAAACAGCAAAAAGAAAGCAAAATTAAACGAGAACCCATCATTTGTTGTTCGTAATAGCTGTGTAGTTTCATGTGGAGCATGCCTGTAACGAAAATAAGGCTGCAATTCAAGGCAATGAGCGCTCGAAGGCGGTGAAAGAGCCCTTTCAGGTAAATCTTCTGGTTCAGACAAGAATGCGATTTGCTTACATTTTGAAGCTGAACCATCCAACATGAGAGATCGATGCATAGCCTCTTATTCCTGAACCCCAATTCAAAATCCCAAAAACTCAAAAGAAAATACAGATACAAATACCCAAATCCCCTGTTTGGCTGCCGAGAAAATGAAGGAAACCACTTACTGAAGACGATGAAGTGGGAGAGTTTTCTTGCACGATTCTAAGATATCCCATAAGTTCTTTACCCCCATTTCTCCCGCGGAGAGGTTTCGGCTTGTGGGGGTCCTTGATTTCTTAGTTTTCGCTTTTCTTTTAAGAAATGAAATGAGAAAAGAAAAAATAATAAAGGGATTTCTTTTTGTTTTAATATTATTGTGGCAGTGTCTCAAAACCCACGTCTTGTTTTCAAAAACAAATTCTTTTGGGGGTTAAAGTTCCATAATTAGTTCCAAAAACAAATTATGAAGTTTCTTTCACTTTTGAAACCAAAGAACGGGTTCCACTTTCCACTTTGCAGATATACCCATTACCCAGAACAGCCCGCTCTTTTTTCAAATCTAGAACTTATTCCTCCGTTCTTAAAGCTTATTAAAAGCTTCGATAATTCCCCTTTACTCTTCCGTTACAGCAGACGTTATTGGAACCTCTAGCGGTTTCAATCCTCTGCTTTACTCCCGATACGTTGCCATAGTCCTCCACTTCAATCGGCGGTACATTTGAATCGAGTTGCGTTTTGAACTTACAGATGGGTGTAAAGAACAATCGTAAGATCCAGAAAAGAGGGTCGTAGTCAAATGTGAAAGGGGAGAGTTGTAGAGGATAATGAATGGGGTCCGACACGTTTATATGCCTCGCAGGGTGCTTCTCAGAACACGTGGTTAGAAAGAATATTGTGTCGGAATCCTCCATTTTTATAGCCTCCTGAAGGGATTTGATACCAAAATCAGACTCTTGGCGAGCCCAAACGAGAGAAAAACAGAGAAGGGAAAGAGGGTTATTGAGATTGGCCGGTGGGTTTCGCCGGAAAGTCTGAATGATGAACCAGAAGTCGGAGGAATGGCTACCCCCTGGCTGGACGGTGAAGGTCAAAGTGAGGAAGAGTGGCAAAAAGGATAAGGTACTGGTTTTCATTTCCTTTTTGCTTGGATTTTTACTTGCATTTTATGAATCAATAGATCTTTGGCTCTTGATCTACTTTCTTTTTCATGCTGAACTTGCATAGATTCTTGTGCTGTTTCTGAGCTAACAACATATCGTTGTTCTTCCTGTTCTTCCTGTTCTTGACTATGAATTCTACATGAGATTTCATTATGATTTGCAATGTTAATATGAAAAGATCTGATTCTAATGTTGCAGTATTATTATGAACCCTCAAGTCAAATGAGATTCAATTCTAGAGCAGAGGTGTTTAGATATCTCAAAACTGCTGCAATCTGTTGTCCTGAATCTGAAGAGAGCAGAACCTTCAAGCAATCACAGAACAATGTCTGTCAAAAGAGTCGACCCTCTACTCTATTTCTTTTGTTTTCAATTTTATTGTTATGAACTTCATTGATTTTTCTTCAAAAACTTGTATTATTCAAGCAATCTAGGTGGAAGTTAAGAAGACTTTAGCAAAAGGGTTACCTCCTGGATGGATCAGAGAAATCAGAGAAACCAAGACTGCTAATAGGATAAGAAGAGATTCAGTAATTCATCATCTATTTCCTTTATGTCGTTTTCATTTGTCGTGTCGTTTCGGCTTCGGATATGCTCTCGAACCGTGAACTTAGTCTAATCCGTATATTTAGTGACCATAAGATTGTAAAATGCTGAAGAACAAGCAAGTTTACAGATGAACTTTTGTTTGCAGTTTTACATTGATCCTGTAAATGGAAATGTATTTCGCTCAATAAGGGAAGTACATCGGTATATAACAAGTGGAACAGTGAGCCGATTAGCGTATAAATCGAGGGATCAGAGAGGCATCAACGTTGAGTTTCAACATGATGATATCTCTGTGAGTTCTCTAATGATGCTCCAAGTTTGAGTTTCAACAAACTTCGGTTTTATCATCTTTGCCCTTTTATTAAACTTTTGTCTTTCCCTCTCGTTCGTAGTCGCCTGCTGTCTCCAAGAAAGAGATGCAAGCGATTGGCAAAGCAAGGAGACAGATAATATGGAACGAGAACTTGTTGGAACCCCGTGAAATAACGAACGATGAAGCTATTTTTCCGAATGCTACGAGTGTCGGAGAAAGCATGCCTCATTCTGAACCTGATTCGAGTCATGGTATAGTTTTGAACATGCTACTTTAGATAGCAAATTCTTTCATTCCTTATGGATTTGACCCCTTCTGCCAGTTGAAGGTTAAGGTGAATTTAGTGACTGCTGCAGGAGAAATAGGCACTGACGTGCATTGTTCAACTCTACCAGAGCAATCAGATGGAAAGAATGATTTTTCTGAACTTGTGACGACTCCTAGTGATGCGCCAACAAAGAATGAGAGTAAAAAGAGACAAAGGAAAACTAAAGACGTGAACTTGACTCGCCGTGCTTCAAAACGACTTGCAGGGCTCCAAGCTGAGCCAGTGCTTGAAGTGAAAACAGGTCGCCGAGCACGCCCAGGTGCATGTGAAGAGTCTGATAAGCAAGCAGTCAGTAGTACAACTAAGTCAGTGTCTCAAGGTCTTGAGAATCCTGATGTCAAGCATGAGACAAAGGGCAGCATTGATCCTACTAAAAGTATTAACACAAACCCAGATTCAAGTAGAAAAGATGATGTAAAACAAGACCCTATTCTTAAATTGCCAGTGGAGGACTTATTGGCTGATCCTTGCATTGCATTTGCAGTCAAAACTCTAACTGGAGGAGTTTTCGACGCGTCCATAAGCTCAGAACTTTCACTGATGCCAAACGATATTGATCGTCCTTCAAATGAGAGTAGAAGCCTAGGCCCTAATGAGAAGTTGCCATCTTCGGAACTTCCTGTTAATCGAATCGGGGTAGTCGAGAAGCTAGAATCAACTTTGGAGTTGCCAGTAGGGGAAATATTGGCAGACCCTTGCATAGAATTTGCTATTAAAACTCTAACAGGGGAAATCCCTCTTGATGACAGTCCAGATATTGAGGATTATTTTCACCAACTTAGCACCTCGAAAACGCAAGGATCTAGTTCAAATGCCTTGAATTATTTCGGTTTGGATCACTTCTACAAGATGAATGTTCAAAGCCAGAAGCGGCAGGTTATTCAAGCTCTGGAGGCATCTCCAAATATTAACTTCCAAAGCTGTGGAACTGGTTTACACCAACAAGAATGTAACAACTTTATAAGAATAAAGGATGACAAAGCTTAGATCATTTGTATGAAACATGATAGGCCAACATTGCCTATGAAAACATTTTCAGGATCAAACGCATGTAATTCTGTACTTGTTTGGTTGGGAAATCTAATGCTACCAATTAGCCCTTGAATCAAGATTTTCATTACATGTTTGTAGTAAAGCTAGATAACAGGTGACAGGAAGCCAGATTGTGTTGGTGCCCTCACACCGGTGGATGCATGAATTAGGGGCCTCTAACGCCTGTCAATGAGAGAAACATTCCCAATAAGTACCAAAGAATTATCTCAAGTGGCTAATAAAGATGTTTGAACTCGATTTTCCAAGTTCTATGAAGTTCATAAGGAAGCTCAGCTAAAGAAATCAGAAACATAAAGTCAACTAAATTTGTTTCATATTTGGATATAAGCAGCAGAATCAGAAGACGCCGCACCTGCTCGAGCTCTCAATGTTTCGGTTCTCTTACTTCTTTCCATTATATCGACTAACCATTCAACACTGTCCTTTATCCCCATCCTGGAATCAAAACAATGAAGAATTTCAGCTTTCTAGTATGTTTTCTGCTGGTGAAGGATAATTTAATGGATAAAAAGCAGGCATAAAGCATATATTAGATGTCCACCGATGTTGGATCTCATCCCGTAATCCCATTACGAAAGAACTTTCGTGTTCTTGAGATTATGTAAATAGGATATATATATACGTACCCATCATAACCAGAAACAGCTTCAAACATGTAAACTCTTTCATCCAGTTTTTTAAGATCCAGATAACGAGAAAGTTCTTCAGCTGATACTGCTTCAGAAAGATCCTGCATCCATGAATTCAATGATGTGACAGCTCCAAATCAAATGTAAAGAACAAGATGAAAAATATGAGAAGAAACTTGATTTTGGGAAGATATTTACTATATGATCGTCAACAATACAACTTGATCTCATTTGTTTTCCAATTTATGATTGAATCATCACTGGTTCTCACCTGCTTGTTTGCTAAAACCAAAAGTGGAGCTCCTTGCAGATCCTCGTGTCGAAGAACTTTCTCTGGGAAAGAAATTCAAAATAATATCAATGCATCATATTCAAGTTCTATCACTGCTGATACCAACATAATTAAGGTATGGCCACACTATGGCATCACCTACCCAGTGCAGATTTGGAATCTTCAAATTTTGATGGACAAGCAGCATCGATTACATAGATCACAGCATGTGCCTCTTCATAATATTTCTCCCAAATAGACCGAAGGCCAGGCTGCAATAATTCAAAAAGGGGGAAAAAACTGAGATAAATAACACATTCAAATTCCCACCCACAAAACAAAAATGTAAGAGAGAGGAACAAGATTCTACAAAACTCTTTAAGACTTTAGATAATGTATTTAGTATAAAGAAAGCTAGCAACAACAGATTTTGTGTGAGATCCCACGTCGGTTGGGGAGGAAAACGAAGCATTTCTTATAAGGGTGTGGAAACTTCTCCCTAACAGACACATTTTAAAACTGTGAGACTGACGGCAATACGTAACGGGCCAAAGCAGACAATATCTACTAGTAGTGGGCTTAGGCTGTTACAAATGGTATCTATCAGAGTTAGACACTAGGCGGTGTGCCAGTGAGGACGCTGGCCCCCAAGGGGAGTGGATCGTGAGATCCTACATCGGTTAGAGAGGAGAATGAAGCATTTCTTATAAGGGTGTGGAAACCTCTCCCTAATAGACATGTTTTAAAATTCTGAGGCTGACGGCGATAGTAGCCAATATCTATTAGCGGTGGGCTTGGGCTGTTACAATCTAGCAACTTAAATATCAGCTATAATATGTGGGTTTACAGCATGCTTGGCACGAAGGGTTCAGCCAAAAGCGACACATGTATGCATTGTACTTAAAAAATCTATATTACAACACCATTGTTCGTTACATATCCATACCTGACCTCCCAGATCCCAGAAGACAAGTTTTGCATTCAACACCTCTAGACGCCCAATATTGAGTCCAACGGTTGGAACAATCCGATCAGGGGATAGACCTTCCAAGTTCGAGTATAATGACTTCAACTTCTCAAGCAAAGTCTACACGACAAAGTTAAAAGTGAATGGAAAGAAGTTAGCAAGCCTAGAAAGGAGCTGAAAACATAGCGTAAACTTTGAAGAAATAACTATGTACAATCAGTCAAGAGGGAAGAGGTTTACCGTTTTCCCCGCCTTGTCGATTCCTAGGATGAGAACATGAAATTCTGTCTTACTAAATATGTACTTCCAGAGGCCATAAAATAAAGAGAACATCGTGTCTTTTCAGTTTACTTGGGGTATTAGTTGCTCTTAACCCTTGGGATCAAACTTCATAACTTCAAACTCTCCTTTGGCCAACTTATTCTGCAACTCCACAAACAGAATAGAGATGACTTCCTTGGATAGAACAGTAAATCAAACTAAAGATCATTCCACTTTAAAATAGTTTTGCATCGGTAATCGCCCCTCGCTCCCCTAAACATATTGTTCTAGAGAGAAACAGGGAGGCAGCTCAGAGAATTCATTAAACATAATAGATGTGACAAATTATATACCATTCAGCATGAATCTCTCTTAACCAGAATTGATTTCATTTTAACCTCCTAATTATGGTTCATTAACTTCTAAGAACTTCAATTACATTTCAACAAAAAGTACCCTCTACCAAGAAGTTAGAGGTTCAAATAATATGATAAACTTAAGATTCAACAAACTCATGAAAGATTTCACTTCAACGCAAATATGAACTCTCTTAAATCATCAACCTTCTCCATAATTAAAATCCAAATGAAGGGTAATTTATTTTTAAACTTACTGTCTCTTCTCCTATCCATTAAGTCCGGTTCCATGAGAATTCAAATTATAGCTCAAATTTAGAAACTCAAGAAAATCTGCAAAGCTTTTGCAAAGTCAATGAAAGTTCAGACATAAGAAGAACAATCCAAGCTTGGTGTTAAAACATCACAGGATTTCAAAAGCAACCTCCATAGAAATGTTGTCATGGGGGAAGAAAACGAAAGAAAATACAATAACACACTCCCTTGCTCATTCATAGCTTCGTATAAAAAAGGGGTTCTATACACCGTTTCATAAAATCGTTTCTACAAGCCGAGAAATCTTTTCAGAGGCGATTCAAAGCAAAATTATCGTCCACCATATTCCAAATGGCAAACCATATGCACCATCGAGGGTGGAAATGAGGAGCAAAAGACACACAATAAGAATCGAAATCAACTTCATACGAGAATCCGTGTTACTCAAAACATTGCAATAGGAAAGATCAAACATCGAGCGACCCGAAACAATTGCAATGAAACACAAGAGAATTCCATCATAAACAAAAATGGAAATGGAAAAATACCCAGTTGATTTTTGGCGATCGAAGCCGTAAATGAATCAGATCAGGCAATCTGATGCAAATTTAATTGAAACCCATTACAAATTCGGATCGATAAAACAGATATAAAGTCGGATTCAAAGTGTATTAAAGAAGGGATTAGTGAAAGAAGTGGCGGTAGTGCAGGGCTTTACCTTTCAGTGCAGCAAAGACGAGCTCCCACCGTCTGAAAGTAGACCAAAATTCTGTCTCAGACTCCCAATTTCTCCCGATTGCCGCAATTGCAAAGCAATGTTCTCCCACTCCCTTCCACCAATAGATTTTTTTTTTTTTTTTTTTTTTTGG